TTGATGAAGATAGTTGTGGAAAATATTATTGGAGGAAAAGGGCATAGTCTAACGGTGATAAACTGGTGGGGAATTTAGCAAGATCTGTTCAGATTCTTCTCCGTGTCCCTCTGTCTTCAAAGATAAGGAGATTCCTGTGTTAGAGGTATAGGCAGGGCCCATCTCACAGAGAGTGCTCAGGCCGGGAGCAGGGGATGCACTCCAGTCTGGGCGACAGAGTGAGACTCCAACCCAAAAAAAAAAAATCTTCTTACGAAGTGAATAAAACACTGATATCAAGATGTGACAAAGATTTCACAAGAAAAAGAAAACATACAGACTAATCTTCACTTACAAATATTGATGCAACATCCTAAATAAAATATCAGCAAACAGAATCCATGACTGTATGCTATTTATTCAAGAAATGCAAAAATTATTTAATGTTAGGAAATCCACTAATACAATTTAACTTATTATTAAATCTAAGTAGAAAAATCAAATAATCAGATCCAAAGATGCCAAAGAATTGTTACAAAATTCAGTATCCATTCTTTCTCCCTTCCTCCTCACTCCTTCTCCCCTATTTACTGATCTATTTAGAGTTGGAGTCTCATTCTGTTACCAGACTGGAGTGCAGTAGCATGATCATGGCTCACTGCAGCCTCAACCTCCTGGGCTCAGGTTATCTTTCTGCCTCAGCCTCTCAAGTAGCTGGAACTACAAGGCCTACACCACCACACCCAGCTAATTTTTTGATTTTTCATAGAAATGAGGTCTCACTAAGTTGCCTAGGCTGGTCTCAAACTACCAGGCTCAAGTGATCCTGCCTTGGTCTCCCAAAGTGCTGGGATTACAGGCATACAAATTAGCATAGAGAAGAATATAACACACACCCCTGTACCTACTACCTACCATAGAAAGTAAAATATTAGACAAGCGGGGTGTGGTGGTGCATGCCTGTAGTTCCAGCTACTTGGAAGGCTGAGGTGGAAGGATCGCCTGAACTCAGTAGGTCGAGGCTGTGGTGGTCGTGAGCATGCCACAGCACTCCAGCCTAGGCAGCACAGACTCCAACTCAAAAAATAAAAGATAAAAAAAAGAAAATATTAGACAAACAGTTGAAGTCCCTTGTATATTTCTCCTTCATTCTGTTCTTTTGTTTTTTCTCTAAAGGTAATCACCACTCTATATTTCTCTTTTAGAAAATTTGTTTATGTAATCCATAAACAACATCATACATGGTCTCATACTTCACGTATACTTCTGCAGGGAGAAAGCACCGATACACAAAATAATCTGTGCCGGCTCGGTGGCTCAGCCAGTAATCCTGTGCTTTGGGAGGCCGAGGTGAGTGAATTGCCTGAGCCCACGGGTTTGAGACCCGCCTGGGCAACTTGGTGAGACCTCATCTCTACAATAAATAATAATAAAATAAATAATTAGCCGGGCGTGGTAGCGCACGCCTGTAGTTCCAGCTGCTTGGAAGGTTGAGGCTGAAGGATTGCCGGAGCCCAGCAGGTTGAGGCTGCGGTGGCCAGGAGCGTGCCACTGCACTACAGCCTTGGCCACAGAGTGAGACTCCAACTCAAAAAAAAAAAAAAAAAAAAAGAAAAACCTTAAAAACCCCAAAACAATCTGTAGTTTACCTCAGCACTATGTTTTTGAAATTTATGCAAGCTGATGCATGCACTGATTCATTCTTTTTCACTGCTGTATAGCATTCTTTTTTTTTTTTTTTTAAATAAGCTTCTACAATTAGTGATGTTGTATGGTGATACCATAATTTATTTATGCATTCACCTGTTGGTAGACTTTAGGTAGTTATTTTCTCTATCACAAACAGTTCTGCAATGAACATTCTTCTACTTCTACATATCTCCTTGAGCAAATTTATAAGAATTTATTTAGGACAAAGTCTAGGGATGATCTGTATTTCCTTTCTCTCTCACTAGAAATTCACTATTCACTATTCTGGATACTTTCTAATTGTTTTCCAAGGTAGTAATACCAATTTTCACCTTTTTTTTTTTTTTTTGAGTTGGAGTCTCACTCTGTCGTCCAGACTGGAGTGCAGCGGCCGCTCCCGGCCACCGCAGCCTCCACCTGCTGGGCTCCGGCGATCCTTCTGCTTCAGCCTTCCAAGTAGCCAGAATTACAGGCGCGTGCTACCACGCCCGGCTGATTTTTTCATTTATTGTGGAGATGAGGCCTCGCTGCCCAGGCGGGTCTCAAACCCGCGGGCTCAGGCAATCCACTCACGAAGCCTCCCAAAGGTACAGACCAATTTTCACTTCTATCAAAGATTTTTTTTTTTTCTGAGTTGGAGTCTCACACTGTCACCCAGACTGGAGTGCAGTGGCACACTCAAGGCAACTAAAAAAAAAAAGTAAATTTAGGGGAAAGGTAAAAGTGGCCACGGTTGGTTTGAGGTCTAGAGGAATGTAGTGTTTCTCAGATGAGAGGTTAGAATCCTTCCAAGGATGTAGGGGTAGTACCTCCTGTGTACCTATGGTGTAGGGGGTCAGAGGGAGTCACTTTCAGCTCGTGAGTGCTTGAGGTGTTCGAATACACCCTCATTGTTGAGTCCCACCTATTCGCTGCCCCACACCAGGGCTTAGGGCTTGAGGAAGAGCTGGAATTAAACCATCAAGAAGACGACATTTTCAGACTATTATTTACTGGTTTTAAGAGACTTCACTCCTCAGTCAGGCCAGAAGCTCCTTGAGATGATTTCTTTTTTTTTTTTTTTGAGTTAGAATCTCACTGTCGCCCAGGCTGGAGTGCAGTGACACACTCATGGCCAACTCAGGGTCGACCTGCTGGGCTCTGACGATCCTTCCGCCTCAGCCTTCCAAGTAGCCGGAACTACAGGCGCGCGCTACCACGCCCGGCTAATTTTCGAGTTATTGGAGAGACGAGGGCTTGCCAAGTTGCCCGGGCTGAACCCGCGGGCTCAGGCAATCCACTCGCCTTGGCCTCCCAAAACGCTGGGGTTACAGGCTGAGCGACCGAGCCCGGCCTCCTCGAGATGATTTCTAAAGATATCCTTACCCGGCCCCACTGTAGAGATATAAACTCATTCTCTTATGCAGACGCTGCTCAGGGACTGAGGGAAGGAGGGAGGAGAAGGGGAAAAAGGGTAAACGGTTGGGAGAGGCTTCCAGTTGTTTGGGCTGCTGTTACTGCTCCATCTTTGGTTTCTGCTCAGGTTGGGTCTGGCCATGGATCTGAGCTTCTACACAAAGTGCTGGGAATGTTCAGGGCCAGTTTGGGGTCCTACGAGCCTGAAAGGTTGTTGAGTACAGGTAACCAATTTACTTCAGGTGGAGACATAAAAATACTCGGCCAGACATGTGACTCAGGCGGCCATTTTCTCACACCCCGCGGTCGCCATCTTCCAGGCAGACAAAGACACCAACCCCTACACTTATCTGATGCGGGCATGGTGATTTCCTGGTCACTCAAATTTGGAAACGCGCATATTTAATCCCAGGCAGAGGGCCGTAGACAAGGTTTTGGTTTACAAGTAGGTTATTTGACCACACCAGTCCACGCGCCGCTTCCCCCGCCCCTCCCCTATTTCCTTACCTACCGGGCAGCCAAGAGGCGGGGCCTGCGTGTTCGGGAGAAAGGGACGGACAGGCACGAGCCGTCAATCCGAACTCCCGCCCCTGAGGGGGAGGTACAGTGGGTGGAGCCTCGCGCCGCTCCGCAGGGATCCGGAAGTCGGAGCCTCGCAGCGTGAGCGCATCTCCTGGGCCGACAGTGTTGTCGAGTTTCCTTCTCCCCTCAGATTCCTGCTGGAAGTGTAGGTAAGAGACTACTCTCCTCTTTCCTCAAGGCGAGCGCATACCCAGCAGGCCGGGCGGTTAGGATCCTCTACTGGAGGTGAAATCAGATGCCCGCCAGCCTGGAATAGAGGGTAGACAGCCGGCTCCCTGTAGAAGGGCCCGGAAGAGGGGCAGGGATCGCTCCTCACGTGGTGAGGCGCCGGACTGCATTCTCACAGGGTTGAGGGAACGTCCTCGCCCCTCCTAGAAACGTGTAGACCCTGGGCACACTATGTAGAGAGGCACAAATCTCACTTGTGTGGAGAAGCGTGATCGCCCTCCGCCTCTCAAAGAGTGAGGCTTCATTCCGCATTCCCCTGGTTTAGACAGGCACTGACCCGGTCGATGGCGACATCGACCCCATCCGTTTAGTGACGTATCCCGCTCCAGTCAGCCTGAGCGATGCAAGACTTTTTCTGGCTTAAGACACCTCTTCGGCTTGGCTTTAGACATCCGCCTCAAGGCACGTCCTCCCTCAAGACAGAAGCTTTGATGTTATATATAGGGGTTCCTCTCCTTCATGTAGAGACCTAGAGCCCTCCCTACCTCTCCCCGACTCCTGCCGAGTAACTAATTGACGGAAGCCCCTCCCCTACTCCTGCAGAGGCCGTAGATCGCCCCTCCCCATGGTGGTTGGAGGCACAGGCTTCAGCCTATCTACAACCAAACCGATTTCCCCCTCCTAGACGAGAGTGAGTCCCCTTTGTGGAATATTGGACCCAGTCCCAACCTCCTTAATGAGTCTCTTTTACCAAATTTGCAAAGGACTGACTCCCAAAGTGCCTCACAGTAAACAGGAACAGATCTTAATCCACGAAGAGACAGTCAGATCTGTCCTCTGAGGGGCCACCAGGTTAGGAGGGCTCAGATTTGTTCTCTTTCTGAGGTGGACACAGAACAAATTAGCCCCTCCCCTGAGGATTTAGAATCACCAAGTATAGCAGGGGAGAGACCTCACAGCAGCAGAGTTGGACCTCCCCTTCCCTGTAATGTTGAGAGGTAGTGATATCATTGATCACCCGCAGTGCAGTACATATGGACTCCCCCCCCACCTAAGGTAGAGAAGCTCAAATCTGTTTCTTTCCGCTCAATGTAAAATAACAGACCCCCTCCCAAGTATAAGGGCTGATCTATTGAATTTATAGATGCATTGCTTGTCCCCACTCCTCCCACCCATGCAGAGTGGCTCTATTCTTCGTTCACATACTGCTGACTTCAGTCCACATAAAAGATACACAAATTGTCCCAGTCCACCTCCAATGGAAGGGTCCAGAACAGCCCACTGCAGGTAGGGTTCAGACCCCACTCATTCAAAGCTGTACAGTTTCCATCTTTGTTAGTGTGGCACTAATGCCACCACATAGTGGAGTCAGGCATATCAGTCCTGTCCCACAGCCCTCTCCAGGGTTAAGAGATCCAATCCCCTCCCTAACCTTCTGCACAGTTTAGAGTATATGGACCTGTGCTTCACTCCCATGCAGCAGAGATGCACACAGCCATTGTGTAGGTTTCCCCAATTTCTCTGTATTCCCCCAGGGTAGAGGGGCAGATGGCAATCTCCCCCTACTCAAATTGCCAAGGTACAGACCCCAGGCACATGCAGACACAGATTCCCACCCCCTGCCCCAAGGTTTTGTGTTGACATCAGTCCACAAAGACACGCAGAGAAGAAGCTCTGTTCTCTTTTCCTCAGGGTAGACTCCTTGGGTGTGTTTCTCCCCACCACTTCTCCCAGTGGAGATGAGATATAGAACCCCCTACTTGGGAACGAGGCACTATTATCACCCCATGCCCTTTTCGCTTCAGTGTGGAGGGGTTTGGCACTAGTCACTTACTTAGGTTATAACACTACAGTGTGAAGGATTAAGGATCAAGGACACCATCCACTGTATTGAGGCACTGAGTACCCAGGAAGAGAGGCTCAGACCTATCCCTTCCTTTGGGTATTGTGACACTGCCTTCCTATACTCAGCCATATCAGGCCCTAGCCCCTGTTTCCCTAATTGTTAGGGCTTCCTCATCTTGTTCTTTAACATTTTACCTTTAGGGAGCTTAGAAGAGGGCTTGTGGTATTGTGGCTCTTAGCTGTCTTCAAATTGCTTCTTCTCTCATTCTGATAGGAAGAAAGGGAGCAGATTTCAACCTATCTGCTTTCAAGCTGATCATCATGATGAAACTTAGACACAGTGAGTTTCCTTTAAACCACCCCTCCAGATTTTGTACTTTTAATGACTATGTATAGACTTTCATAGCAACTTCAAAAAAGTGCTCACTATGTTCCAGATCACTCAGTCTGGGTCTTTACATATGGTATCGTTGCTGTCCTCCTGACTTTCTTATGTTTCCCTTTTCCCCATTCGCATTTTACAGATGAATAAACTGAGGCTCAGCAAGATTAAGTGACTTGATTTGAGCTGAATAACAGTAAATACCATATCACACTTCCTGTAACCATTACGTGTCCTAACATTTTTCTTTATAAGTTGTACCAGTGATTACGAGCATGGACTCTGGAGCCAGACAGCGTTTGAAACTCAGCTTTCCCATTACTAGTTGTGTGGCTTTGGGCACATTACTTAACTATAGTCTCCTTATCTACAAAATAGAGATAATTTGTCTAATAGCTTGTTAGGATTTAATGAGTTAAAAGAGGTAAAATACTTAGAAAGGTGCTTGGCACTTAATAAATGTTCTGTAAGTATTGTAAGTAGTGGCTTAAAAAATTTAGCCTCTTCGTTTCTTTTTGGAATATAGCCCCTCAGAGGATGCATACCCTATCCTGCCACCAAATTGTTGTCTGACCTCTCTTGAGCTTTGGAAAACAGATCGGATGAATTGCTGTTCTTTCTGCCTTCAGGTCTCTTTCCCTTCTTTCTCCTTTATTCTTCAACTGGATAACTCTTGCTTATTTTTCAGATTTCATCTATACTTCACTTCCTCTGGGAATTCTTCCCTGTTAAGTTGTTCCCTTGGTTTCCACTCTGTGCACCCACAGGCACTAGGGCTATTGACACTGTACGATCAGGTCTATCTCCCCCACTACACTGTTAACTTCTCACCCTCATCTCCACTCGTCATTGTGTCCCAAGGGCCTATCATGACTAGACATAATGTTTTGGTGCTTACTGTATGCCAGGCACTGGAGAGTCTCAGTAGTGCTGACTCCTCCTCCCTCCACCATGGTGCCTACAACACAGAATGAGAAGACAAATGTGACACACACATTCTCCTTTATAAAAGGATAGGCAAGGGCGTCAGGGCAGGTCTGCTTCTCTGCTTCTCTGCCTTTATCCTGCCATGGTCCACATAGAAAGTGATTACATTTGGATGGCACACTGGGTAGGCTGGATGAGCATTGCTTAACCCAGTGGCTGTGTATTCTTGTGAATGGTGGCTCTGCCTATGGAGGGGCTTGTTGCAAAAAAAAAAAAAATGCAATACATTTTCTTTTTTTTTTTTTTTTGAGTTGGAGTCTCTCTCTGTTGCCCAGGCTGGAGTGCAGTGGCACGCTCACGGCCACTGCAGCCTCGACCTGCTGGGCCCAGGCAATCCTTCCATCTCAGCCTTCCAAGTAACTGGAACTACAGGCATGCACCACCATACCTGGCTAATTTATTTTATTTTATTTTATTGTAGGGATGAGGTCTTTCTATAGGCTGGTCTTGAGCAATACATTTTCTTTCTATAATCATAAGAAAGTTTGTCAAGAATCATGCTGTTAATACCAAAAGCAAATAATCTGCCATATTTACAGGTAACTCAAGAAAAATGAACAAACTTTATACTTTACTTAGGAATATCTAGTACCAGATAACAAAAATACTGATAATGATGAAAAAGATAATAATTAGCTAGCGAAGTAAAGTAGGATATATGTATACATAAGAATTCTAGGCTGGGTCGGTGTCTCAGCCTATAATCCCAGCACTTTGGGAGGCCAGGGCGAGTGGATTGCCTGAGCCCAGGGATCGAGACTAGCCTGGGCAACTTGGCGAGACCTTGTTTTTACAATAAATTAAAAAAAAATTAACTGGGCATGGTAGCGCCCACTTGTAGTTCCAGCTACTTGGAAGGCTGAGGCGGAAGGATCGCCAGAGCCTAGCAGGTCGAGGCTGCGGTGGCCATGAGTGTGCCACTGTACTCCAGCCTGGGCGACAGAGTGAGACTCCAACTGAAAAAAAAAAAAGAATTCTAGCTGTTTAAAAAATAAGGAAATATTGTATGGAAAGATTAGATGGAAAAACTGTATTGAATGGAAAGACTATTAGATGGAAAGATCTCTAAGATCTGTTAAGTAAAAGAAACACATTGGCTGTCAGGACTACAGTAGGTTATCTTTTATGGGAGAAAATGTGGGGGGAGGATAAGAATATTGGTATTTGCATAAAGAAATGAAATGATGCACGTTAAACTAATAAGTGGTTTCTTGTGGCAGTGATGGGACTGCAATGGGTAGGGATGAGTGTGGGAGGAAGACTTCTGAAAATAACACCTTTTAAATTTGGGACCATAGGACTATTACCTGTTAAAAATAAATAGTCCTACACAAGCCGGACTCGGTGGCTCAGCCTGTAATCCCGCGCTTTGGGAGGCTGAGGTGAGTTGGATTGCCTGAGCCGTGGGTTCGAGACCCGCCTGGGCAACTTGGCGAGACCTCATCTCTACAATAAAAAAGTTAGCTGGGCATGGTAGCGCGTGCTTGTAGTTCCAGCTACTTGGAAGGCTGAGGCGGAAGGCTTGCCGGAGCCCAGCAGGTCGAGGCTGCGGTGACCGGGAGCAGCCACTGCACTCCAGTCTGGGCGACAGAGTGAGACTCGGACTCAAAAAAAAAAAATAGTTCTACACATCTACATTAGTGGGGAAAAGGGTGAAAACTAAATATGTGCACATACAACCAAGACCTTCACTGGTAAATTGCAAGTTAATGATCAGACTGAGGTGATTGCTGGGGAAGATGGGGGGAACTGCTGTGTGGTGCAGCTGTCTGCACTCTGGACTAGGGCTATCTTGGACACAAATGATAATGATGAAGTCTGATTAAGTCTGGAAAGATTATTGAGTAGTACCACAAAGAATGTTCAAAAATAATTTTAATTGTACTTTTTTGTGTTTGTTTAAAAAGGGGGTGTTTTATCAGTTAAAAAGTTCAGTCGTTGGTGTTGGTGGCACAGGTGTGTAATCCCTGGAAGGTGCCTACCTGCCTTCTGGTTAGTTATTTACCAAACACTGGTAAAGGTGTCTAGTAGGACAATGGAGGGGTAAGGGAATTGTGGCTTTGTGCAATAGTGCGATTGTAATGACAGACCAGAATGTTAGCTGGACAGAGATGGAAGGGAGCCGAATAAGAGGATTCAAGTATCTAGGACAAATGGACAACTGAGCTCAAAAATAGGAGAGGGGTGTCTGGACTGCTTTCACAATTCCAAAGCAGTTACAGGTGATGACCCCTTAGATGTAACCATAGGAATGGGTGGATGGGTGGTTGAGTGGAGTGGAGATCCTTGGAGATGAGAATGTCAAGGAAGTGGGAAGCCTGGGTTGGTGGAAGGGTTGTCCAGTGATCTCCAAAGTCACTCAGGTTGGTGGTGGCAGGAGTTGGGTCTAAGGTAAAGCTGTGAGCCAGGTGCTTCAATAAATGAGGAAAAGTGACATAGATGGCAGGCATAGCACATGGTGGGCAATCTCAAAAAGAGCAGGTTTTGTAACCCTTTTTTTTCCTTATTAGCAAGAAGGAGAAGTAGTCTGCATTTGGCAGTAATGAGACTGGATGGTACTTTCACCACCTATTAGCCCCAAGATAAACATGTACCAGAGAAAACAACAGCCATCTTTTGAGAATCCTACAAATGAAGCATTGTCCTTGGGAGACCCAAGTCTCAAGACAGGAGGTTGGGGAATTGATCCTAGGGAGAGGTTGAAGAATTAGGGGAGTGCTGATCACCCAAGTGGGAGTTTCAGAGGATATTGTGGGAAGTTTGATGCAAAGGCAGAGGGAGGATGAGTAGGGTTGAAATCATTGGGCATACAGGAACATTTGAGGGCAAGAGTATGGGACATGAGAGATAAATGAATGGCGAAATCTGTCCTTGAGTATTGATAGGAGAGATGGCAATTTTAGGCCCAGATTTGTTGTTGGTGGATACAGACATGGAAGCTCAGGGAGATTTTAAAAAAATTCTTCAAGGTTGAGAAACTGCCAGGGGAAGGAGAGGCACACCTCATCAACAAGGGTACCTGCATAATGAAAATTTGTATACCTAACCCTGAATTGTACTCCACATCTTTTAAAAAAAATTTCTTCACGGTCATAAGTAGTAGTTGTGCCAGAATAAGAATCACTGTCTGCTGGCTATAAAATGGTGGCTCTTTTCACCCTGAAGCTGTTGAAAAGCTGATGAGCAGTGCCTCCTGAGTGCTGCAGTGCTGTGGGGGATGACTGACTGCACCCCTCCTTTCTCCCACTTCTCTCCTTCCACCTTTCCTCCCCTTCCCTTTTCCCCTCAGAAGCAGATGCTTTTCCTCTCTAAGTGATGTATTTTCTTTCATTGTGTGCCTGTATCCGGTGTAGGCACTCAGTTTTCAGGGAAGTTAGGCAGATGTAAATTGTTGAGTATAATGGCCAGACCTGGTTCATTCCAAACCTCACACTCTTTTTTGTTGCAACATGAGTACTTTGGAAGAAAAGGGGACTTGGGGTCTGTTTTTTTAAACAGGGAAATTTGACACATTCACATTTGTTATGAGAACTAATTTCTACCATCTTATTTTATATTTATTGTTTATTTTGTTTTATTTTTTTGTGAGATAGTGTCTCACTATGTTGCCCAGGCTGGTTACTTCTGGCCTCAAGTGATCCTCCTGCCTGGGCCTCCCAAATGCTGGGATTACAGGCATGAACCACCACTCCCGGCCTATTTTGTTTCCTTTTTTCTTATTTCTTCTTTCTAAATTGATGGACGTTCTTTTTTTTGTTTGTTTTGTTTTTTTTAGGTTGGAGTCTTACACTGTCACTCAGGGTGGAGTGCAGTGGCACAATCACAGCTTATTGCAACCTTGACCTCTTGTGCTCAGGACATCCTTCTGCCTCAGCTTCCTCAGTAGCTGGGACTACAGGCACATACCACCACGCCTGGCTAATTTTGTTTTTTTTGGTAGAGTTGAGGTCTCCTATGTTACCTAGGCTAATATTGAACTCCTTGGCTCAAGCAATCCTCTTGCCTTGACCTTCCAAAGTGCTAGGATTATAGGCGTTGGCCACCTAGCCTGGCCCTGAATTGATGAAGTTTTAAGAGAATTCTCCACCAATAATTAAAGTTATGTTGGTAATTGCATTTAGGTTTATGTAAAACATAATTAAACTTGTATTTATCTAACGGTTTATCAAAGCTAAATAATGATTCTTTTTATCCTTCCCTTCCAAAGTGAAACCTTTAGCTTGCTTTTATGCTTTTGCTTCTCTAGCCTCCACTACTTGATTCCTAGATTTTGTTGAAATAATTTAGTATTTTTGGTTCTGAGCTATTATGATATGCTTCCTGAATTTTAAAAATCCTTTTGTGGCTGGGTTCGGTGGCTCAGCCAGTAATCCCAGCACTTTGGGAGAACGAGGCAAGTGGATTACCAGAGCCCAGAGACCAGCCTGGACAATTTGGTGAGACCTTGTTTCTACGATAAATGAAAAATTAGCCGGGTGTGGTAGTACATGCCTGTAGTTCTGGCTACTTGGAAGGCTGAGGCGGAAGGATTGCTGGAGCCCAGCTGGTCGATGCTGGGGTGGCTGTGAGCGTGCCACTGTACTCCAGCCTGGGCGATGAGTGAGACTCCAACTCAAAGAAAAAAAAGAATCCTTTCTTAATATGTCTTACAGTTCTTAGCCATGTAATAACTTTCTTTTTGAGATTTAAAAAGTTTTAATAGATTTCCTGCCCTCCACTGTTTATTTCTTTAGCTTGAGATCTTTATTCTGATTTAATTTTTATTTTTGCTAGTAGTTTTACCAGAAAGGAAACACAGGTGGTAATCTTTGCACGTTTGAAAATGTCTTTCTCTTACCTTCACATAATAAGAGTGATCTATTGGTCAGGTAGAGAAGTTCGGCTTGGAACACGGTCCCTTTTCTCAGAACATTGTAATGGCTTTTCTTCTGTCCTTAAGTATTTGGAGTTGTAGATTTGAGAAGTCTGCCTGCTTCTCTGTCTTATGTTGGAAACTTTTGTTTAGAATTTTATCTCGTTATCCTTGGGGTTCAGAAATTTCATCAAAATATGTGTAGGGTATGTCTTTTGGCTGTTAATTTTTTTTTTTTTTTTTTGAGACAGGTTCTCCCTCTGTTGCCCAGGCTAGAGTTTAGTGGTGCAATCATAGCTCACTGCATCCTTGACCTCCTCTGGCTTCAAGCAGTCTTCCTGCCTTAGCCTCCCAAAGTGTTGGGATTAGAAGGTGTGAGCCACTGTACCAGTCTTCTTTGTTTATTTATTTATTTATTTTGAGTTGGAGTCTCATTCCATCACCCAGGCTGGAGTGCATTGGCATACTCATGACCACCCCAGCGTCGACCTGTTGGGCTCCGGTGATCCTTTTGTCTCAGCCTTCCAAGTAGCTGGAACTACAGGCGTGTACTACCATACCCTGCTAAATTTTTTTGATTTATTGTAGAGACGAGGTCTTGCCAAGTTGTCTGGGCTGGTCTCGAACCCGCGTCTTGGGCAATCCACTCGCCTTGGCCTCCCAAAGTGCTGGGATTAAAGACTGAGCCATTGAGTCCTGCTGTCTTCTTTGTTAATCTTAATGTTCCCTGTGCCTTTCCAATCTGAAACCTCAAGAGGATCTTCAGTTTAAGGAACTTCCATCTGTTATTTAAGAAAATGATTGCTTCTCCATTTGTACCTTATTCTCTTTCAGGAATTTTTGCTATTTAGATTTTAGCTCTCCTGGCTCCATTTTCTATTTGTTATTTTCTATTTTCACTTATCATTTCCATTTCTTTGGGTTTTTGTTCTGTTTTAAGTAAGCTCCCTGCCTTGTTCTTCTAGCTGATTAATTTGGTTGCTAGTGATACCTTTTCTGTTTTTAACTACCTGTTGATTTTTTTTTTTTTTTTTTTGAGATGGAGTTTTGCTATACTTCCCAGGCTGTTCTTGAACTCCTGGACTCAAGCAGTTCTCCCGCCTCAGCCTCCTGAGTAGCTGGGATTATAGGTGTGTCCCACCACACATGGCTTTTGAATTTTTACGTAATATCAAGTTTTGGGAATCTTTTCTCATGCAGATACTCCTTTGAAGTATCTTCTTGAATCCCCTTAAGAATTTACAGTAGTTCTGTTTCCTACATTAACTGCTTCAGTAGGAACCACCTGATGTGATTGTGGAGCCTGTTCTGTGTGTGATAATCTTGAGCTGCTTATGTATTTGTTTGTATATATCCTGACCTCCCAGAACCTCTTCTCTTTCTAGGAATTCCTTTATCTTCCTTGAAGGTGGTGAGAACTAAGGAAAGACATTCTTTCCCAATAGGCCAACTGTGAAGGGATGACTGACGCAACTTCTCATTGAAGAGGGGAGAGACCTCTTAAGTTCCTGGGCTTTGTTAGCATGTGATTACGGGAGTGGCAGCTCTTTCCTTCTTATATTCAGGGAAGGCAGCAGTTTGGCTTAGTAGATCAAGTCCCTTTGGAGGCATTGACCTGAACAGGGTCAGAAGGAAGGGGCATTTCTTTGCTCACATGCTGAGGGTATCTGTTCAGGCTTAGCTGGCTGGCACTCCTCAGATCACTTTCCCATGCTTCCACTTCCCTCACCTCTGCTTGGTACTACTGAAATTGGAAGTTTAGGGGGAGAGAGGAGTCACAAACACACATTCAGATTACTCTTTGTACAGAATTCCCTTCAGAATTGTTTGAGTTTGCATTGAAATAATGTTCCAAATATTATTTCCAGTATTTCCTTTGACACTATTGCCATCTGCATCTCTGTCTTGTGTTGGATCCAGAAAGCTATGGTGTCTGAGGCTTCCTAGGTTTTCCGTGTGACCTGGCCTTGATTAAGGTGTCAACAAATGTTGGGTAGGTAGACAATGGTTTTTTTCTTTTCTTTTCTTTTCTTTTGTAGAAAATAAAAAGCCAAGCAAAGCTTCCAAAGGCTGCAAGAAGGTAAGTTGGCCCTACCCTCGGGTAAGGTATGTCCATTGTTGCGGGTAAGGTGAGGAACAGATTACCTGCCTTGGGGAGAGGTCCACAAGACCCAGTAGATATTGGGTGATTCTGGATAGAGTACCACATTGAAGTCAGTGATTCTGGCTTGCCCTTCCTCTCTGGGTGGCTGCATCAGAGAGTCAGCAGCATTTATGAAGTTCCTATAACAAGCTATATGCTGCTTTGTGCTTGATTTACATTGGAGGGAATTATCATCATCCCTATTTTTTAGATGAAGAAACTTTCTCAGTTAGAAAATTCCTAGGTTCGAGGTAACAAAACTGGGACTTCCCAAGTCGTTGTTTCTCTTTTTCTTTTCTTTTCTTTCTTTTTTTTTTTTTTTTTGAGTTGGAGTCTCACTCTGTTGCCCAGACTGGAGTGCAGTGGCACACTCATGGCCACCACGGCCTCGACCTGCTGGGCTTAGGCGATCCTTCCATCTCAGTCTTCCAAGTAGCTGGAACTACAGGCACACGTCACTATGCCCAGCTAATTTTTTGATTTATTGTGGAGATGAGGTCTTACCAAGTTGCCCAGGCTGGTCTTGAACCTCTGGGCTCAGGCAGTCCTCTCGCCTTGGCCTCCCAAAGTGCTGGGATTACAGGCTTGAGCTACCATGCCCGGCCTCCAAGTCCTTGTTTCTTATGGAGCAGAGGTAGGCCCAAACATCATTTTTGGCCCCAGCTCCTGGATCTCCTGGTCCTATTGGGAAAGGTGTGGATAAGGAAGGCTTGGAATAGAGCAATGAGAAGAAGGTGTGGGTAAAGCTTTCAAACTTGAACCGGCCCTCCAGAATCACCTGGAGGACTTGTGAAAATATAGATTGCTGGGCCCTACCTCAGAGCTTCTGATCCAGTAGATGTGGCATGGCATCTGATAATTTGTATTCCTAATAAGTTCTAGGATGTTGCGGCTGCTTTTCCAAGGGCCAGACTTAAGAACTACTCATCTAGAAAGCTTTTTCCTGGGCCTTGCAAAACCTTTTCAGCTGTTGTCCCCCTCACCTCCTTCCTGAGAGATCTTCAGTCACTCCCTGCTTGGCTAGGGCAAGAATGGGCTCTCCCCAGCCAAATGAGCAGATCTTTGGGGACAGAGCCCTTTTTGCCTACCCGTCTACTTTCTCTCGATAATGAAACTTCTCTGAGCAACTTTAACCCTGCCCCATCCTCCCTGAGGGTGAAGTGATTTCCATGAGTTTGTTACCTCTGTCTAATTTTTTTCTCTTATGTGGTAACCAGCCTGCGAAGCAAAATGGGAAGAAAGCAAACTCCAAAGTGCCGTCTGCTCCCCAGTTTTTTCACTGCAATGATCATGCCAGTCGAGAGACTGATTTAAAGAAGAAGAGGGTAAGCTCTTGATCTTGGGAGAGAGGGTCTGCCTTGAATACCTAGTCTGCAGAAATGTTGGATAGAAGGGCAATGGCCATAATTATTAGGGTTGTTGAGGCTATTTGTGGAAGGAGGAAGAGAGGGAGGTAACCTAGATACCCGATTTAGTGTCTCCATTTGCTCACCACTCACTCCATTGGTGTCTGGTTATGCTTCCACTGCTCCTACTGAAACAACCCCTGATGGCCTCACCAGTGACTTCCTTTACATCACATTCTTGGTTAGTTATTTTCCCTCACCTTATCAGTATGCTCAACATTTGAGACCATGCTTTCCTTGAAGCACTCTGACTTTGACTTTCTCATCATCTTACTCTCCTGGATGTCCTCCTCCTTTAACCAGTCATTGGCAGTCTCTTTTTCTACTCTTTTCCTGCTCTTTAAATGATGGCACATCCCAGACCTTGGCCTCTTTCCCACCCTGGTCTTAAGAGGTTCTGTCTTCCTGGAATGCATTCTCTCTCTGCTTCACACACCCTCTTTTTTTTTTCTTTTTTGAGTTGGAGTCTCACTCTGTCACCTACACTGGAGTGCAGTGGCCGCTCCCGGCCACCGCAGCCTCGACCTGCTGGGCTCCGGCGATCCTTCCACCTCAGCTCTCCAAGTAGCTGGAACTACAGGCGCATGCTACCACGCCCGGCTAATTTTTTGATTTATTGTAGAGATGAGGTCTCGCCTGCCCAGTTGGGTCTCGAACCCGTGGGCTCAGGCAGTCCACTCACCTCAGCTTCCCAAGTCGTGGGATTATAGGCTGAGCCACCGAACCCGGCTCACACACCCTCTTTTTAATTTTATCTGCCACTCTTTCTTCATCTCTGTATCTTTTTCTTTCTCTCAAACCATCATCCCCTGCTGTCATTTCTGCCTTCTCTCTGTACCCCTGCTCCTCCCACCTTTGCCATGTCATACTGTTTCCTCTGTCTGTCACCCATCCCTTCCTTGGTCTGCAGACCCAGTTAGCGACATTCCTAGTATGTGTTACTTGTTAGGTTGAGGAAATGAGGGAGAAGCAGCAAGCTGCCCGGGAGCACGAGAGAGACAGACGCAGAACCATCGAGAGCTACTGTCAGGATGTTCTGAGACGCCAGGAGGAGTTTGAGCGCAAGGTAAGACAGCAGCCCTTGCCCCTGAATGGGACTGGTGTACATTTCCTCAAAAACAACTTTTGCTGTTGTTCTTTGAAAGGGAAAGAGGAAGGATGTGAGATTGTTGGAGGGAAAGGAGGAAATCAGTGCAGAGGATGGAAAACAGCGGGGACAGAGGGAAGGCGGAAGAGAGGGAGATGAAGAGCCATTTTGAACCCTACCTGTGACTGGACATCCCCAGAGAGTTTCTCTTTCCCAAGCTTGAACCCAAAGACTGAGACTGGTAGTGGGGTCAGAGGCTGGATGCTGGGAGAAGTGTTACTAGAGGATGGGGTGGGGAGACAGGTGAGGGGGAGTGAGTATATGAGGGGAGGATTAAAAGAGAAGAACATATGTGAGGGGGTGTCATCTTCCTTCTAAGGCTTTCTGCCTTTCTAGCAAATGTTCTCATCTCACATGCAGAATATGCATTTGTAAACTCATACTCCCTTTTCTGACAGAGTACATATTTTGCCTTCCCTATCCCATGTTCCTCATAGATTGTTTCTCTCTGTTTTTTTTTTTTTGTTTTTTTTTTAGTTAGAGTCTCACTCTTGTTGCTCAGGCTGGAGTGCAGTGGCACACTCATGGCCACTGTAGCCTCGACCTGTTGCGCTCTGGCGATCCTTCCGCCTCAGCCTTCCAAGCAGCTGGAACTACAGACACATGCCACCATGTCCAGCTAGTTTTTGTGATTTATTGTAGAGATGAGGTCTCACCAAGTTGCCCAGGCTGGTCTTGAATCCTCAGGGTTAGGCAATCCTATTGCCTTGGCCTCTCAAAGTGCTGGGATTACAGGCTGAGCCACCATATCCGGCTGTTTGTTTTTCTCATATCTCTCTCTCCCATTCCTCCCTTAAACACTCATGTACACATTCAGGCCTCTGGCTGGTGCTCAAGCACACACATACACATAGGCACACACATACACTGTGTGGGCTTGTCAATTCTTCGGTGCCCAGCTTTGTTAGTTGGTCAGAGCTACTCTTTGGTGTGTTGAGATTCACATGGTTTCCTCAGCTTCCTTTGGTTTTCAAAGCACTGGGTTTTTTTTCTCTCTCCCCTACCTCTCTGGACCAGTCTCTTTTTTTCTCTTCTAGGAGGAAGTTTTGCAAGAATTAAATATGTTTCCTCAGCTGGATGATGAAGCTACAAGGAAGGCTTATTATAAGGAGTTTCATAAGGTCAGGGTTCCATTTCTTCAGGCCCTTTTGGGAAGGCCCCAGTTCAGCCCTATTTTTTCTCCATCTCTGAGTTTTCCTGATTGACCTTTTGTTTCATGGGCCTGTGTAACTACTGTCCAGTCCTTTCTCTGCCTTCACCCCCATCTTCTGCCCTGCAGGTAGTAGAATACTCTGATGTGGTTCTGGAAGTCCTGGATGCCAGAGATCCATTGGGCTGCCGCAGCTTCCAAATGGAGGAGGCTGTCCTGCGAGCAGAAGGCAACAAGAAGCTGGTCCTGGTTTTGAACAAGATTGGTGGGTGTTGGGCAGGATTGGGTAAAACAGGAAAAGGGGCCAGGTCTTTTTGAAAGTCTAGCTCAGGCCTGGCATGGTGGCTCATGCCTGTAGTCCCAGCACTTTGGGAGGCGGAAATGAGAGAATTGTCTGAGCCCACAGGTTCGAGTCCAACCTGGGCAACTTGGCAAGACCTTGTCTCTACAATAAATAAAAAAATTAGCCGGGTGTGGTGGCACACTCCTGTAGTTCCAGTTATTTAGAAGGCTGAGGTGGAAGGAGTGCCTGAGCCCAGCAGGTCTAGGCTGCAGTGGCTGTGAGTGTGCCACTGCATTCCAGCCTGGGTGACAGAGTGAGACTCCAACTCAAAAAAAAAAGAAGAAAGTCTAGCTCAGACCAAACAGCAAGATGCAGCAACTTGTGGTCCTCATAACAGTCATGCAAGGTAGAAATTCTTATTCTAATTTTCAAAGCTGGGGATGTTGTCTGAGGACATACACATGTACACACATGGGATATAGCACAAGTTGGGAGTGGAGTCCAAGCCTGTCTGCCTTTCAGTCCCCTGTGCTTTCCGTTTGGAGACTTCTTAGTGATTGGGTAGCCCTTGAGAGCTCCTTTGTCCCCAGAGCTGGAACCCAAAGATTGAGACAGAAGAGCACATGGACTCAGGAGTCACTCAGGTCTTACCTTACCTTTGCTGACTGTTTTCTCTGTGATATTGGACAAGTCATGTCACCTTCAAGAGCTCTTGTTTCTCTAGTTGTAAAATGGGCCATGAGTGTCCCAACCTCACAGGTTTGTTGTGAGAATTAATTATATGGTATGTGGTCAGTACTTCACATATGGTAGCCATTCTCGCCAGGGTTATTCTTGATATTTGGCCCAATCTAGAATGATCCAGAGAAGGGATGAGAGGCACAATATGGAGACCTCTCGCACTCTGGGTACCGTTTTGGAAGGAGGATGTTTGGGACCAAACAACTGGCTTGTCCACTTTCCCTGAGGGAACAGAGTCTTCCTCAGGGAGGGCCAACTGGTCCCATAGATCAGTCTGTCATTTCTAACTCCATTCTGGGGACTCAACAGTGACTGACAGGGCCAGCGGAGAGACCTGTTGGCAAGAGGTAGGCCTAGCCTTGGGTATGGGTAGATGCATCTTTAGAGTGAGCCATGGAAGTGATGTTCTCCTTACCAACCTCATCTGTTCCCCAGACCTGGTCCCCAAGGAGGTTGTGGAGAAGTGGCTGGATTACCTTCGGAATGAACTGCCAACCGTGGCTTTCAAGGCCAGCACACAGCATCAGGTCAAAAACCTGGTAAGCCTGGAGCCAAGGCCATCTAGCCTCTTTTTGGGTATCCTGAGGTCAGGGTTGGGGGGTCATGACTTAGACCAGGACCTCTAGCCCTTTAGTAATTGAACTGGACCATCAACTTTGAGCTTTTAGCTCTACTGGGTGACTTCTTAACACATTCATGACCAGCAAATTTTTTACTTTCCTAGTACTGAGAGCAGGTGAAGATAAAAAAATTCTGAATCTGGTTGCTGTAAACTTCTGTCATTAAGCACAAGTGAAATGGTCTTTCCTAAATAATCACCTTTTTCATAATACAGCTGAAAGTTGCAGACATATCCAGTATTTTTCTCGGACACCATTCTGACTAGCATTCTGTACTTTGTATTTTTATTTGGGTTATAAACCCAAAAAGACAGTCTTCCATGATGAGGTAAATTTATGTCCGCAACATCCAGGAACAGAATTTGGAATGATGTAAATTCACGTCAGCGGTCGTGAATGAGTTAATATGAATTTCACTTTACTCCTTCCTATATTAGTACTCTTCAGGAAACATTTTTTTTCCTGGGGATAATATATTTCCTGAGGATAATATAGACTGGGTATAGGAAATTGGAACTAGCTGCTAACTAGCTGCTAACTTAAAAATATAGATATAGATATAGATATATATACCTTCTTTCATTTTCTCTTTAAAACAAAACTACTTCCTAATTATAGCATTAATACAGAAATACATTTTCATTGTAAAATATTAAAGTGTTACAGAAACATTGGTTGCTTCTGGGGAGAGAAATTGCGTGTTAGGGGACATTTTTTCAATTTTCCACCAGGTGTTAAACTTAGTAAAATAAAGTAGGAAAAATCAACTACAGATAAAGCTTAAATACCCTTTCATGAGTTCCCCCTAATTCCAATCTCCTGTATCCATACCCAGAGATAACCACCATTGATAGCTTGATGTGTATACATCCAGACTTTATTTTGTGTTTTGAATATACATAGATATGTATATATAAAGAGGGAATACTGTTTGGAGGTATTGTGTGTATCATTCTGTGGCTTGCCTTTTTTTTCTCTTAGCAGTGTTTCTATAGAGGTGCACATTTTAAATTTTATTTATTTTTAGTTATTTATTTATTTTGAGTCAGAGTCTCACTCTGTTGCCCAGGCTGGAGTGGAGTGGCACGCTCGTGGCCACTGCAACCTCGACCTGCTGTGCTCAGGTGATCCTTCCCCCTCAGCCTTCCAAGTAGCTGGAATTACACCACATGCCACTACACCCAGCTAATTTTTTCTTTGATTTATTGTAGAGATGAGGTCTTACCAAGTTGCCCAGACTGGTCTTGAACCCCTGGACTCAGGCAGTCCTCTTGCTGCGGCCTCCCAAAGTGCTGGTATTACAGGCTTGAGCCACTGTGCACGGCCAGAGATGCACATTTTGTATCCTGAATGTTTCTTGTTTGTCGTTAATAACCTGGACTTCCACAAATGCCCTTGTACGTGTTTCCTTGACACATGGGAAAGTGTTAGTGTGTAAGTGAGGTACTGAGAGGGGGAGTGACTGGCTCATAGGTTTCATACCTATTACATTTCCTAGACACTAACAAATTACCCGCCATAGTGGTTATACCAATTTATCCTCCCACCAGTGGGATGGATGAATGTGCAAGAGGACCTCTTATTACACTCTTGCCAGCATTTTATAGCATTAAACTTTTAAATCTTTGAGAAAATGGTGTCTCATTTGCAATTTTTTGTCCTTTTTGATAGCAAAAACGTGGTAAGCATTCTTTTCTAAGAACTGTGCTTTATTTGTATTCCACTTTAAGGATGTACCTTTTAAAACTGTTTCTTACTGATGGCTATTTAGGCTAGTTCTAATTTTGCAATATTAGAAACAGTGTTGTGTGAGTAAGTAAGGAAGAGGGAGCACATTCTGTGTAGAGGGGATGGCTTTAGGAGTAAAGAGATGGAGGCTTGTCCTGTGTGAGGAATCAAAGGAAAGTAGTGGGCCAGGCACCATCTCATTCCTACATGGGCAGGGAGGGTAGGCTTCCCTGTTGTGCACATGGAGGCACTGAGGTCTGAAGAAGGGAAGCAGGCTTTGGTGGGCGTAGGGCTGTGAGAGGTAGAGCTGGAGCTCAAACCTGGCCTGTCTAGAGCCAGGACATCATCCTATTTCTACTGGGGGAGGCAAGAGATATATGTCAGGGCAGAGGCAGGGATAGAAGACTGGAGAAGTGCCAGGTATTCAGGGCCTGCATGAGAAGCCTTTCATTTCAGGCTGAGGAGCTCAGTGATCACAGGGAGGCCTTGAAAGTTGGAAATCTAGGCTCAGACTGCATTTCCCACCTGGTTCCTCTTCTGTTATATCCCTTATTTTTCAGAATCGTTGCAGTGTACCAGTGGACCAGGCCTCTGAGTCACTGCTGAAAAGCAAAGCCTGCTTTGGAGCTGAAAACCTCATGAGGGTTCTGGGGAACTATTGCCGCCTTGGTGAAGTGCGCACTCACATTCGCGTGGGCGTTGTGGGTAAGGCTTAGAGAGTGGTCCTGGAGCCCAGGCTTGTTTCTTGGGCAAGGACTTCACTGGGAGAAAGTCGCCTGGGAGCTTTGTGTTGACTTTTTGAAGAAGAAGGAAATGAGTGGTTCAGGAAGTGTTTTGTGATTTGTAATTTGGATTGGTGAGCATAGGAAGGCATACTCAGAATCATCAACATGTATTGAGTGTTAGAACCATGGGCCAAATGTGCAGTGCCAGTCTTGGAGTCGGCACTGTCTCATTCTGTCAGAGTTATGGGAGGGAGGGGTGAATATCCCCCTTTTACAGATGAAAACACTAAGGCCTAGAAAAGGGAAAAGGGACTTGTGAAGCTCAGCTGTGTGCAAGACAGGGCAGAGATGAGGCTCAAACCTGGGCCATTCTGGAACCCAGGTTACTGAGGGAGGGATAGTGGGAGGAGAGTAGGAAAATTGAGAGGCAGAGACAGATTATCAGGGAGGGAAAGTAAAGCCAAGAGAGAAAAATATTGGAGAGAGAGCTGGACATTGAGAAGGTATACGTACGCATAACCTGAATAGACATAGAAGAAGACCCAAAGAACTGGGAAGCCAGATGGAGAATAGAAAGAGGAGACAAATTTAAATGACAGATGCATGCAGACAGAGGGCGATATAATCAGAAAGATACAGCATAAGGGACATAGAGACAGGCACATGCACAGAGATTTGCAGAGGGAGACATCAGAAGGATAGAGGCAACCCATGTATGTACAGAGGCAGTTGTGCATGTCCAAAGGAAGAATGAGAGAGACAAACACACAGGGATAGAAACCAATTCAGAAAGAGATATATATATACAGAAACAAGCTAGTACAAGGATGTAGATTCAGAGGAACACATACACATAGGTCTGAGTACATATACAGATCCACACTATAGACCAGGAGGACACACATCTAGAGAGACAGGCCCAGAGGCAAAATACATACACACTAAGGCTTTTCCACACTCCTCCCAACTCTGCTTCTCCAATGCACATAGAGCTGAAAGGAGACATACATGTGCGCAGATGCATTATGGCCCTTAGACATCACATACCTTGAATCATAGAGAGACCCAAATACACAGACATGTCATGATGAGACAGGTATATGTGTGTCTATTGAGAGAATAGAGACAGAGGAGGTTAGGGAGACACCAGAAGAGAGTAAAAGAGACACAGTGAAACACAGTGAGACACAGAGACATACCCACAGATACAAGCCCACAGAGAGGAAGAACATGGACAGAAAGAGAATGACAGGAGCTGGCATAAAGGGAATTATAAAGAGAGGCAGAATTGGTGGGACGGGAAGAATCAGAGAGAAAGGACAATAGCCAGAATGAGAGACAGACAAACTGGCAGAGAAACAGGTACTTAGATACAGATGCACACAGAAATACTCAGAGAAACAAAGATGTATTAGAGAAAGACTGAATGAGAGACAAAACAAGGAAAAAGCAGTGATACTTAAAATGAGAATAACTAAGAGACAGAGTGAGAGAAAGAGAGGGGTGTGCAGAGACTTCTGTGTGCAAAGGGTACAACCAGGCATATGTGTGAGAGATTAGTATACACATATAAATTTGAACTACATACAAAAAGAGAATGGTTAGAATGAGATCCAGTGGGGGAGAAACACAAAGACATCCACAGGCTGAGAATAGCTCACAGATGCCAAATGGAAAAACATACATCAGAGGTAGAGACTACTAGGCCAAGACCTGAGCTTAGGGGTTCAAGACCAGCCTGGGCAACTTGGTGAGACCTTGTCTCTACAATAAATCAAAAATTAAGCCAAATGTGGTAGCGTGTGCCTGTAGTTCCGGCTACTTGGAAGGCTGAGGCAGAAGGATTGCCTGAGCCCAGCAGGTTGATGCTGGAGTAGCTGTGAGCATACCACTGCACTCCAGCCTGGGTGACAAGCAAGCAAGCAAACAAACAAGCAAAAAAACCAAAGAGACTGCTGCACAGAGAGACCAGCATCTGGAGATGAGCCTCCTCCGCTCCAGAGGAATTACACACCAGGATAAACGGTTCTCTGTTTTTTATTTTTGTTTTTGTTTTTTTGAGTCAGAGTCTCACTCTGTTGCCCAAGCTGGAGTAGAGTGGCACGATCATGGCTCACTGCAGCCTCAACCTCCTGGGCTCAGGCGATCCTTCTTCCTTAGTCTCCCGAGTAGCTGGGACTAGAGGTGCGTGCTACCATGCCTGGCTAAGTTTTGGGGTTTTTTTTTTTGTAGAGACAGGGTCTTGCTATATTTCCCAGGCTGGTCTCAAATTCCTGGCTTCAAGTGATCCTCCTGCCTGAGCCTCCCAAAGTGCTGGGATTATAGGCATGAGCCACCATGCTCTGCTGATGGGTCTCTGTTTCATAGACACTTCTCAATGTCCACCCTCTTTCGGATCGTGTCACTGAGGCCTTGCACTGAGCACCTCTTCCAGGCTGGTTGTGGGTGGCAGATTGGTGTCACATCTGGAGAGAGGGACATGTCTACCTAGCATGCTCATAAATGAAGGAGAGAGTAGAAAGGCCCTGTAGAGGCTTGGTCAGGGCCTGAGGTGGGAAGGCAGGAAGCCAGGCTCTATTTTTTGGCTTCCCCATGGCCTGGTCACGGCTCCTGCCTGGGCCTCCCTTACACAGGTTGGTCTGAATATTCCTGAGGGCCTTTTCTGCCCTGAGCCATCTGTTGCTACTTTGTAGGCCTTCCCAATGTTGGGAAGAGCAGCCTGATCAATAGCCTGAAGCGCAGCCGTGCGTGCAGTGTGGGAGCCGTTCCTGGAGTCACCAAGTAAGTGCCCACCTGTTCCCCATCTTCACAACTCCTTGACCTTATCCTTTCACTCAACTCCCATTACTTTGGCCCCTGTCCCCCTCCCTTTTTTAAAAATCTCAGATCATCCTTTGATACCTCCCCCAGGTATGGGAGTTTTACAGCCCTCATTTACCTGACACACCCTAAGTGTGGGCTACGTGCCCAGCTGGGTGCTTCTGTTATCTCCTTGAAACTTCCTAACAACCATGTGAGACTGGACTACTAATGAGTAGCTCTGTTGCCTAGATGAAGCAGCTGAGGCTTGGAGCGGCAGAAACTTGCCCAAGACCCTGCGGCTTAGTACCCAAAGGCAGTGGCTAGATTAGACTCAGCCCCAAGTCAGTAGGTCCCCAGAACTCACGCTCTACTCCCTGGCCCTATATCTCTCCACCTTAATCTCTAATACACCCTTCTCTCACTCCTTTATATACATGCACATCCTGGCCCAACTTTATGATTGGGGCCTGTAGGATGCCAGACACATGCAGGCCAGGCTTTCTTCTCTCCTGCTCCAGATTCATGCAGGAGGTCCACCTGGACAAGTTCATCAGGCTGCTGGATGCTCCAGGCATTGTCCCAGGACCCAACTCAGAGGTGGGCACCATCCTGCGCAACTGCCTCCATGTGCAGAAGCTAGCAGACCCTGTGACCCCAGTGGAGACCATCCTGCAGCGCTGTAACCTGGAGGAGGTATGTAGCAGGGCCCCAGCTGATGCCTTACCCTACTCCAAGGGCCCTTTATTCTTCCTCCTGACTTCTCTCTTTTCTCCCTTCACCAGATTTCCAACTATTATGGAGTCTGTGGGTTCCAGACCACTGAGCACTTTCTAACTGCAGTGGCCCATCGCTTGGGGAAGAAGAAGAAGGGAGGCTTATACAGTCAGGAGCAGGCAGCCAAAGCTGTCCTGGCTGACTGGGTGAGGTGAGGAGGGGGGCTATGGGTAGGAGTGAGGCCCACTGGGATCCCGGCTCCACAAAGGGACTCGTCTGTGTTCATTGCAGCTGGTGGGGCAGCCTGATGTCCTTGGTCTCAGGGCAGGGGATGGCCAAGATGCCAGCCAGGTCATGCCCTGCTTGGGATTTTATGCCCTGTAACTCAAGTTCTTTTCAGAAGCCACTGTCCAAGTTTTCTCATTGTCCCTCATTGTTTCTGACTCATCCTTTCTTTGGTCATTTGTTCTCTCAATGACATCACCACTAATCTTCCCCTACCTCCTGATACAGCGGGAAAATCAGCTTCTATACACTACCACCGCCCACCCACACTTTGCCCGCCCATCTCAGTGCTGAGATTGTTAAGGAGATGACTGAGGTCTTTGACATTGAGGATACCGAGCATGCCAATGAAGACACCATGGAATGTAAGTATGGGCGGGTGCGTGTACTTGGTCTTACACTAGTGGAGCCACACAGACCTGACAGCAAATCTCACATTTTGATATCCCCCTTCCCTGGCCCTACTTGGGCTTTGGACAAATTGTTTAACCAACTTTAAGTTTAATTTCTTTTCCTGAAAGGTGGAAAATTCTAATCTGGGCCATGCTGGGGAGTAGTTGTAAGCTTTTGGTAGATACAAAAGAAATCAATAAAATACCTGCCATGCGTTGAGATGCTCTGGAAATGTGAGGCTTCATTCCTACCTCTTGAGACCTGGAGTGGACTGAGATATTCCTCTCAAAAACCCTTTCTCTAATGTTGCTCTAGGCTTTTTCATAGCCATTTCAGGTCCATCCCTAGATTTTCCTTCTTACCCTTATTGGCAAGTGAGGTATCCAAGTCACAGAAGAATTATATTTGCTAACAGGATGTAGGCAGAGGTGGCCTCCAAACCTGCTCTCCTGCCCTGTTGTCTTAGATCCTTCCAGCCCAGAGGAGCTAGGTGGCCAAAGGTATGGACTGCCTGGATTCAAATTCAAGATTTGCTTATTTATTTTTTGAGTTGGAGTCTCAGAAATCCTGAGAATGTTTGTTCTTTTCAGACACTACCTTCTGCACCCTGGCTTGTGGTCCTTGTTTCCTTTTCCACCCTGCCTAAGGTGCCCAGTGCTCTGGGCATGTCTGTAGACACTCTGGGATAGTTGAGAAAGCCCTGGCTAGTCTGGATTCTAGATTCTTTGTGGTTTTTTTTAGAGCCAGTAGTTTTCCTTCTCTGGGTCTTTTTTTTTTTGAGTTGGAGTCTCACTCTGTCTCCCAGGCTGGAGTGTAGTGGCACTCTCACGGCCACCGCAGCCTTGACCTGCTGGGCTCAGGCAATCCTTCCACCTCAGCATTACAAGTAGTTGGAATTATAGGCACCGCCACCATGCCTGGCTGATTTATTTGTTTATTTATTGTAGAGATGAGATCTTGCCAAGTTGCCCAGGCTGATCTTGAACCCATGGGCTCAGGCAATCCTCTCACCTCTGCCTCCCATAGTACTGGGATTATAGGTGTGAGCCGTCACGCCCGACCTTTTTTTAAAGATTTATTGTAGAGACAGAGTCTCCCCATTTTGCCCAGGCAAGTCTCAAACCCATGGGCTCAGACAGTCCTCTCACCTCCACCTCCCAAAGTGCTGGGATTACAGGCCTGAGCCACCATGCCCGGCTTCCTTCTCTGGGTCTTTTAGTGTCTTTGGATTACACATGATGACAAAGAGGATTTGCCTGCTTCCTAGTTTATTCTTTATGTGGCTTTGAGCAAGTCAACTCCCCTTTCTGAACTTTAGTTTCTTCTATCAAGTGGGCAGTTGCAAGGGATTTGACCTTTGAACTAGATGTGAAGGTAAGAGATGTTCCATCAGTGAGAATACATTTTGGTAAAAGACTGAGATATGGGAAATTGGGGGGGGGTGAGGGAAGAGAATAGTCGTGAAGGTTTCCTGGAGGAGTTGGCTGTAATGCTGGATCTTGAAGGGTGGGTAGGGATTAGAAAGCCCAGGGAAGGGGATGGGGGTAATGGGGCACAGGGCAGTGGGCATATTTGAGGATTGCAGTGGAGGCCAGCTCTAGGCAAGTAGCCAGAGAAGAGAAGAGAGAGTTCTGGTCCTGGAGAGGGACTTCTGGTGGCTGCCATTTATAGAGCAATATCTCAGGCCAGAGTGTTGCAGATGTCCTTTGCAGTGTCTCACAGTAGCCCTGTGTGAACAGGGCCTGTGGAATTCACATTTTCCAGATGAGAAAGCTGAAGCTCTGAGGCCGGTTCCCAGTATATGAATGTCCTACTGCAAAACCCATGCTTTTAATTCTTGGTCACGTGGTCTCTCAGCAGAAACGAAAAGCTTCCCCTCCTGAATACTCTGGGCAGCATCCACATATCTTTTTCATTGAGACTGGTAGCAGGAAGGAGCCAGGACCTTGACAGTGGTATTGGTTGTGTTAAAGGCTTGGCCACTGGAGAATCTGATGAGCTGTTGGGTGACATGGACCCACTCGAAATGGAGATCAAGTTGCTCCATTCTCCGATGACGAAAATAGCAGATGCCATTGAAAATAAAACCACCGTATATAAGGTACCTGTCCCCTTTCTTTGTGACAGCCCTCTCCTCTACCCTGGGCTCTGGGAAGTGGTCAGTCCCTTTTGCGTGGCTCCTATGTGGTGAGATGTGGGTAGTTCACTCATTCCCTGAGGGCTTCTGGATGCCTGGCATGGTGCATTTTTTGGTGACAGGACCAAGGAAGAGGCATGTTCTCTGAGGCAGCTTTCCCAACCCTGGTTCCAGCTCATGGGTCAGGTATCACTATTTAGCCACCCTGTTGTCCAAGTTGCTAACAGCTCTTTCTTCCTCCTAATTAAGATCCCATACACTGTCAGTCACCAAAACCTGTAACCTCTTCCTCCTAAATCTCTCGAGAAGTTGTCAACTTCATTTCATTACTAAACTTCTAGTTCTCACTCATCTGGATGTATGTCCCATGGATTCCAATGGCCCAACCTATGTCACTTTCCCTGCTTAAACTCCTTTCATGGCTCTCCAGCGTCTGCAGGATCAAGTCCATACACTTGAGGCCTGCTAGGCAAGATCTTTAGGATGTGATATGACTCCTAGAGGTTTTTTCAGCTTTTTCTTCTGCTATTACCCCCGTTTCTGCCCTTTAGGAGTTCACATTTTAGTGGGTTTCAGACATAGACATCTGCACTGTGATTGGAGACTCATGGGGTGAGGATGGGGTAGACGTTGGACAGCATGGATCTAAGGGCCCTGAATTTTACGACCTGTGGGTCAGAGAAGTCTTGCTTAAGCCACATCTTGAAGGCTGAGAAGTTCTCTGGGCAAAGGGGGCAGTAGCAGAAAGCTCCCAGTCAGGGACTCAGCCTGTGCTCATACTTAGGCCTAAAAGGGTAAGAGCTGGTGTGTTGGGGAAATTGCTAGTGGTGTGGATTAGAAAGAGAGTAGCCAGATTAGAAAGAGAGTAGGCGGGGTGGGAGGTGGGGAAAAATGAGTCTGGTGTTAGATTACAGAAGGCCTTGAGTTGACTTTAAACCACAGGTAACGGACAAAACTGAAAGTTGGCTATTTTTTTTCTGGGTCAGAGGGTTTTTTAAAAGTTTATTTTTATTTTTATTTATTTATTTTTAACTAGGTAATACATGGTATAAAATTTAAAAGGTATTAACAGGTATACAGTGAAAAGTAAATCTTTCTCCTCCTGTCTCCTATCCATCTGTCACCTCCTGAGAGGCAGTCACTATTAGCAGACTTTTGAAGAGCTATTCCATACTTATATACACACATATATACATGCAAGCAGATGTAGATAACTTTTAATTCAAATGGTAGCATGCAATTCTTACTGTTCTGCACTTTGCTTATTTCACTTACAAATTCATGTTGGAGATTGTTCCACATGATTACTTAAAGAGATGTCCTTTATATTTCATAGCTACATAATATCTGTAAGGGTTTCTTATTGGGAAGCTACATGGTCAGGGGTGTATATTTTAGAGCGTCACTGTGGCAGCTGGGATAAAAATCAGATAAGAAAGAGAGTGGCCAGGTTGGAGGCAAGGATTCCAGGGAGTTAACTGTACTCTGTAATCAGCCCATAAGAGAAGAAGAGGTTTGAACTTGGGCTGTGTCAGGAATCACACTACTCTCATCCTTACATAATTTGAGAGGTTCTCCATTGCTTAAAGGAAAATCAGTGTAAAGTTGTATGTTCGACCCCCCCCCCAATAATATTTCTTTCTGAGGCCATAAGCCCCAGAACTTACCATTTTCCCTCAAGAACCTGCAATAGTTCCCCACTCTGTACTTCAAATCGCAGAATGAGATTTGGGACTGTTTGCAGGTCACTCATTGCAGAACTCCAAGAGACACCATTTATGTATACTACATTGTGAATGGTGGCCTTGCTCTCAACCCAGAACCTTACAGTGTGGTAACTTTGCTCATACCCCTCTCATGTTGCCTTTTCCCAAACATAGCGTAGTGGGTGGTCATATGTACGGGTTCTGGAGCCAGACTGCTTGGATTCTAATTTACTCTACTGCTTACTAGCTATGTGACCCTCTGTGCCTTGTTTGTCATAATATTGTTATGTATTATTATTTGTTTTGAGTCGGAGTCTCTCTCTGTCACCCAGGCTGGAGTGCAGTGGCATGCTCACAGCCACTGCAGCCTCGACCTGCTGGGTTCGGGCAATCCTTCTGCCTCAACCTTCCAAGTAGCTGAAACTACAGACACACACCACCATGCCCAGCTAATTTTTTGATTTACTGTAGAGATGAGGTCTCGCCAGGTTACCCAGGCTAGTCTTGAATCCCAGGGCTCAGGCAGTACTCTCACGTCTGCCTCCTAAAGTGCTGGGATTACAACCGTGAGCCACTGCGTCTGGCTCATTTTATTCTTGTAAAAACCATGCAAACAACCCATTATCCACCCTCATTTGACAGATGAGCAAAATGAAGCTGAGAAATCGACTAAGCAACTGCTAGTGTGTAGTGGAGCCAGAATTGGTTCTTGGTTCCACATGGTACCAGGCTCCCTGTTTTTGCTGAACCCTGTCTCTGCTGCCTCTTTGGGGGTCAGGACCTCAGCATTATCCTCTTTCTCTAGATTGGAGATAGCACTGGGTATTGCACCAATCCGAACCGTCATCAGGTGGGGTGGGCCAAACGCAACGTGGAACAATATCCCAAGAAAAACAGCACGGTGCACATCTGTCCAGTGGATCGCCGCCCAGTGCTGCAGAGAATCATAGAGACGGACCCCCTGCAGCAGGGCCAGGCTCTGGCATCTGCCCTGAAGAAGAAGAAGAAGATGCAGAAACGTACAGGTGGGGGCACCTGACCACCCCTATGCTCCAAAAAGTCCCCACCTGGGGCCTTAATTGGAGCTCCTGAATGAGTATCACAGTATATCTAGCTAGGGTTGGGGGCAGGGATGGGCTAGGAGGTTCAGTTACTAGCACAGTGGTTCTCAAACTTTAGCTTGTATCATAATCGCCTGGAGGGTTTATTAAAACAGATTTCTGGGCTCCTCCACCAGAGTTTCTAATTGAGTAGGTTAGTTGTGGGACCTGAAAATTTATATTTCTAACAAGTTCTAAGCTGATGCTGTTTCTTTGGGGACCACACTTGGAGGACCACTGGCCTAGTCTGTGTATCACATAGCTGCAACTTTTTAAAAAAATAGGTACTTTCTATGTGTTAGGTAACTTGCAGGCTATATATGGTTTTTTAACTTTATCAATAGGCAATAATATTCAAAATCCAAAAGGTACAAAAATATATACATTAAAATCTGTCTCCTATCCCCTAACCATCCAAACTTCTTCCTATAGGCAATTAGTTTCTTGTGTCTCTTTCCGGAGATAGATACACAAATATCTATATATTCTTTGTTCTCTTTTTCCACACAAATGCTAATCTACTGGATACATGGTTTTGCCCCATCATTTTTCCATTCAGTATATCTTAGGGATGTTTTCACATCAATACACAAAAGAAGTTTTCCCTTTTATTTTAATTGTGGTCCTTTAATTTTAATAGTGCAGCAGGCCCATGCAAATCTCCATGCTATACTTATCTTCACTAACTCATTGTTAAAGTCTTGTCTTCATTTGGTAAGTGAGGAGACTGAGGCCCAGAAACGTTATGTGTCACATTCAAGGTAAGACAACTAGTAGTTGATGGAGCCAAAATGCAGACTTGCAGATTGACCCCATCAGCCCTATTCTTTGAATTAGATTGTGTTTCATAACCAAACATATACTCTTGGCCTGGTTCCACACTGAGTCCTGGGAATCCAGGTGAATTATCCTTGAACTCCTAGTCTTATTAGGGAGGAGACAAGTAAACAGGCCTTATTAGCACAGAGTAGTCATTCTGAAGACCTAGCAAGCATAGTGAGGAAACCTCCCCTACCCTAGGGTTGGTAATTGGGTAGGGGTGATCAGAGAAGGCTTCCAGGACATGGTGAAATCTGAGGGGCATCCTGAGGAACACCAGGGTGTGTTTGGAGGATGAGAGGTGTGAGCATTCAGGCTGAAACCCCCCACTGTCATGCCGTCCCATTGTTGTGAGGACTTTGTTTTGAGGGTAATGGGAGAGTGGTAAGTTCAACACGGTAAAAGAAAATTACTGTTTGGGCCGGGCTCGGTGGCTCAGCCTGTAATCCCATGCTTTGGGAGGCCTAGGTGAGTGAATTGCCTGAGCCCGCGGGTTCGAGACCCGCCCGGGCCACTTGGCGAGTCCTCATCTCTACAACAAATCAAAAATTAGCTAGGCGTGGTAGCACGTGCCTGTAGTTCCAGCTACTTGGAAGGCTGAGGCAGAAGGATCACTGGAGCTGAGCAGGTCGAGGCTGCAACGACCGTGAGCGTGCCACTGCACTCCAGTCTGGGCGACGGAGTGAGACTCCAACTCAAAAAAAAAAAGAAAATTACTGTTTGGTACTTGGAATGACAAAAATATTTGAAGCTCAGTGAGTCTGAAACCCTGAGATAGAAGCTATTTTGGGGTGATCATTTCACAGATAGACAAGTTGGATCTACTTGTGAGGTTGAGTGGTGGCTTCCAATGCCTACTGGTTGTTTTGTTTAGTGTTTGGGGAGTAAGTGAACCAGTTTGGGAGCTTGGTACAGACCAAGGTAGATATCTGTAGGCCGGTTTCAGCAGGCTGCCTGTTGGCAAACCAGCTACCAAAAGAATGTTTGTATCTCTCCATCTGCAGATAAAATCGCCAGCAAGCTGTCCGATTCCATGATGTCTGCCCTTGACCTCTCTGGCAACGCTGATGACAGTGCTAGTGACTGATCGACTGATCTCACTCCCCTCCCACTACAAGCACCAGTTCCAGTGGGATGGGGGAATACCAGTGAAAGTTTGGTTCTCCCTGAAGCACCTGTACATGTGTCACTCCCCCCCCCATTGTTCCCTCCACTCTCTCCAGTAAAGAGTCCCAAGAGGCTGGAGTTGCTAAACCCAATACCCTTTATTTAATCCCTACTCTGTTTTACAAGAAACTTAAAAGAAATACCAGCAGAGCCCAGGTGCTACCAATTTATCCTCACCCTCAATCCTGGGATCCTATAGTGGGCTGGTCTGAGGGGTTGCTTTCCCACAAAACCCTCTTGGTCAACTAAATGTGCAACTGGAGGCTAGGCTGCTGGTAGACCTTTACCACTCCACAAGAAATTTCAGCTGTAAGGCATTTCAGCTGTAAGGCATTTCAGGCTATGTATTGTCCTTCCAAGCCCACAGGTCGTACGTGGCAGTGGGAGGAGGAGAACAGTGATGAACCATCCATGTCTCTGTAAGGATCTGGGTATAGGGTGGAGGGAAGAAGAGAATAAACAAGACTGGCTGGTGCTGAAGTGTGCTAGGCACTACTCTATTTGCATGAAGAGAAAACAAGGCACTTGTTGGCAAGCAGGCTGAATGCTTTAGGAACAAGCTCTACCTTGGGGCATTTCTGGGCAGTTTGTGAATTAGGTTGTGTACCTTCAACTGAAGTACTCTGTGTAGGCCCTGCCCTTGTATGACCATGTCTCATCTAGCATCAGCATTTGAGTTCCATGATTTAAGAGGGTTCTGGTATCATTTATTCACAGACTGTCCTCAAGAGAGCTGCTATATTTGTGAGTGCACTAGCCAATTCCTTTCACAGTATCTGGAAGCCACTCTGTTAAAGTATAATTAGCTATCTCCTCTGGGAAATTCTACTCCATCAGACAAGGGCTGTGATCCTAAACAGTGCCAGAGGCCCTAAGAAAGGGACTTGGGGGTAGATGACTGCAAGTGAAACACAATCTCACTTTACCAAGGTATTTTTTTTTTTTAGTTGTGCACATGTCTTCAGTTCTCAGCTACCTACTTGAGTTGACTCATTTGAAAGGGAGTGGACACTTCTACACTGTCCTTGGACCCACAGCTGCATCCTTGCCATTCCCTTGCCTCTACCTTTCAAGCTGACACCTCCTAAGTTACCTGTCTACATCCTGAGAGGGGAACCATGTAACAGGGCCTGGAGGGCTAGTGGCTGCAGGCTGTTATGGCTGGGAAGTGCAGGTCATTCTTGCATTCAGGGGCAGCTAAAGGAGAGTTATGTACTGACTTAGCACAAACTGCACCAAGCTCTGAGAACCTATTATCTCCTTTAACCCTTAATGCAACTCTGCCAGTAAAGGATTATTCTCTTCATATGAAAAATAAATAGGTCCAGAAATTTGACAGGATGGACCCAAGAGGACATATTAAGTGACTATGCCAGGATTGGAACCCAAGCCTGATTAAAACGTTATGCAGGTTGTTTCCTCTGTGTCCTTAACAAAGGAACATTGTCTAAGCACTGACTACATACCAGTCTTTTATCAAGTTCTTCAAATGCATTTTTCCCATTTTTTTGGGTTAAAAAACTAGTAGTGTCTTGCTTGCTAAAATTATGCTCTCAGAGTCCCCTTGGATGGGGCCCAACTTATACATTAAACTCTCCTGGTAGATAATAGTGTTACAGTGAAAAATTGGACAGGACAGTTAAGACCATTTTACAACCATGTGACATTTCGTCATGTAGCATTTAAAATACCATCCCTGACTTTTGGCTTGATTTAGAATTTTGGTGGGAAAGCAATACACATTAAGTACAGTATTCGCTTTATGGTGGTGCTTATTCCCAATAAGCTTATTGTAATTTTCAACTTATGATGGGTTTATTAGGAAATAGACACATCATAAGTGGAGGAGCATCTATTTTATACTAAGAAATGCTGGTAGGTAAGTACTAGAAATGGAAAGTATATGGATGAGTAAGAAACTGCATGGGAACATAATTTGGCCAAAATCAAACAGAAGAACTAAAGTAGTCATGTTGTTAAAAATTTGGGACTCCAGATTCTCTACCTACAGCATGTCTCAAGGTTTTTTTTAAAGCTGTTTCTAAGTCTTTTTTGCTCCTCATTTAAAAAACAATTAAGGTCTAATTTACATACAGTAATGATCCCCCTTTATAGTTCTGTGAGTTTGGACAAATCTGTAAGAAGTGAACCACCACCACAATCTAGATATAGTTGCATCACCCCCCAGAACTCCCTGGGGCTTGTAGTCAACTCCTGCTTCTCTCCTCCAGATCCTGGCAACTTCTTAACTGTTTTCTGTCCTTATGGTTTTGCTTTAGCATGAGTGTCATGTAAAATCATACAGTGGGCAGGCTTATTTTATGCCTTCAGATTAACAAAATTGGATTTAAAAAAAGTTTACATTGGAGTAAAATTTCACGCTGGTGCACAGTTCCATAAGCTTTGATAAATATGTAGAGTTGTGTAACTACCGATATAATCAAGGTACAGAACAGTCCTACTAGCTTTCCTCTACCAAAATCATTTCTGCAATTTTATAGTCAAAACCAGTCACCTACACCTAATCCCTGGCAATCACTGATTTGTTCTTTGCCTTTATAGTTTTGTCTTTTGAAGAATGTCATATAAGTGAAGTTATACAGTATGTAGCATTGTGACTTCTTTTGCTAAGAATAGTGCATCTGAGATTTATTCATGTTGTTGGGTGTATCAATAGTTATTTCTGAGTCGTACTCCCTTGTGTGAATTTACTACCATTTGTTGATCTCTTCCCCAGTTGAAGGATGTTTGAATTCTTTTCAGTTTTGGACAATTACGAATAAAGCTGATATAAACATTCATATGCAAATTTTGTCATCTCATTTCTCCGGAGTAAATACCTAGAGTTGGATTGCTGGGATATATGGTAAGCACATCCTTAACATTCTAAGAAATTGCTAAACTTTTTCTTTTCTTTTTTTTGAGTCGGAGTCTCACTCTTTTGGCAGCGGCATGCTTATAGCCACTGCAACCTTGACCTGCTGGGCTCAGGCGATCCTTCCACCTCAGCCTTCCAAGTAACTGGAACTACAGGCATGCACCACCACATCAAGCTAATTTTTTGATTTATTGTATATGTGAGATCTCACCAAGTTGCCCAGGCTCGAACCCGTGGACTCAGGCAATCCTCTTATCTCAGCCTCCCAAAGTGTTGGAATTATGAGCGTAAGCCACTGCGCCCAGCCAAAAATTGCTAAACTTTTTCAAAATGGCTCTACCAGTTGACATTCCCATTAGTATATGAACGTTTCAACTCCTGGCTGGGTGCTGTAGCTCACACCTGTGTTCCCAGAACTTGGGGAGGCTGAGGTTGGACAATCACTTGAGACCAGGAGTTCAAGACTAGCCTGGCCATTTCTACAAAAAAAAAAATCTTTTTTTTTTTTTTTTTTT